AATTGTAATTCGTTCGTGTTACGCGATTGTATTAAAAATATTTCATATTAAATTGACTGCGACCAAAGCAGTAACTGCATTAGACTTTGTTCGAAAAAAGTTATATTTTTATCTTTAAACAGTCGCACAGACTGTTCGCGTATTAGAGTCAGTGCATCAATGAAGATTTTGATACTTGCATTGACTGTGTGCAAAGCAGTCTTTGGAAGCAGTTGTAGAGTCAGTGATCGGGCGCATATTAAATTAAAATCATACGCGAATTAGAATCAGTGTTGCTCGCCGTATAATTAAATTTCGGTTTCGCGATAAGAAACTCAYCTATAGTTTCTTATTTTCGTTCATAACGCGTTATTAGATTCACGCGAGATGCATCACCATGATGCCACTGAGCTGCATCCCATTGGAATTCATTGTAAGTATTCATTTTTATTTATATTTTATTCGATTTTATTTTATATGATTTTGGATCATATAGATAACTTATCGTTTTGTTATATTTTATTTTACAGACAGAACGACGGATTTTCTACCTCTTCAAAGATGTGGAATGGTTTCTCTTCGATGGATCTTCGGTGGATCTTCGATGGATCTCCTTCAATACCAAATCGAGGAACTCTTCGATCGTCAGACTGCAATACTTGCTGCAAAGTAGGGGTGTTTTGGAGCCATCGTAGAACTTCTTATGCAGTGAGTCAAAAAATTGAAAGTCCCTCCGGTGCTCAATCATGTCGAGGATGAAAGGTCCTAATCGGCACGAGTTACTGGTTGTAATTAWTYMAATAAATTAKTGACGAGCACATGAGTAATTCCTTTCTAGGAGTTACTCATAAAAATTGTATATTTTATTGTATATTTTATATTAGTTCAGGATAGGTTTTCTTGTCTCACCGGTGTTAAATTCATTTAATTAATAATGCAATTAAATAATGCACTTTCTTTTTTATTTCGTGTTTTGTTCGTGGTTAGTAGTGATGAAATCGAGCTTTAATTTACTCGTTTTCGTCCAGAAAAGCATGTAATAAAT